CCCCCCCCCCTCTCTCTCTCTCTCTCTCGCCCAGCATCGATCGTTCCGCCTCGACTGGGGATTGGCGCTTGAAACAGTGATAACCAACCGTCCGCCGATTTGATTGGTTGACGCTCGCCGGGGGGAGGAGCTTCCGCACTTCCAGTCTGCCTTGTTTATTGACTCGCGACATAACGCAAAATCGAGCTTTCCCTACCTGTGGTTTCGCTAAAGCCATAGTATAGCGTTAGTATTGTGTATTTCGACGATCTGTTCCTTAATGGCTACTTAAATCTAAGGGCTTCCTTCTTGAAAAGAGGCTCGATATATGCGTGGAGTTAATGACACTAATTAATTTTTTTTTTTACGAAACTTGCGTATGAAACAACTTAATTTTGGAAGTAAGAAACCAAAAGATAATGATAACCAGATTAGGTAATTTGACAGTTAGAATAAAATAGTATATCAATTATTCAGTTGTAAATCAAATGTGATATCCATATTTAATTACTTTTCGTATTGGTTCATGCTTGAGATTAGTCATATGGTATAATTTAAAATAGATAAATAAATAAATCGAATAAAACAAGAAACTATTACCTGGAGATTTATAAACAAAAAAAGGAAGGCCGTTTCATCTAATGAAGTTAATACTCATGGACTATCTTTTTTTTAATTTCCTTTTTTTAACGATCATTCCGTTTCAATTAGTACCAGAAACTTAATATATTGAACAAAATAACACCCTCCGTCTTTCACCTTTTCCCTTGCAAATTAAAAACCGTGAGAGCTTTTCGTTTTTCATTTGTTTGTATCTTTTGTTTATTAAGCGAGGCACAGAGGAGGCTGCTGGAATAACTTTCAAAAAATAAATAACTGGAATAAACAAAAGTAAAACTGAATAAATAAAAAAAGAACAAATAATGGTGTTTAGTGAAGACGGTAATGATAGTGATAAAGATGACGTTGATAACGATGACAATAATAATATAAAATGATAATTATTATAATAACAATAAAGGTTTGGAATTAGCCCTATTATTAGTAGTAGTAGAAATAAGATTAATGATAATACTAATGATAATAATGATAATAATCTTGAAGACAGAAATGATAAAAATAATAACACAGAAAAAATAATAATGATTTTTTTCGTATATCATAATTATTTTTTTCGTTTATCATAATTATATTTTTGTCGTTACTACCTATGTTAATAATGATAACAAGATCAGTTATTATGAACAGTAATAGGTCTTGTGGTAATACATAAGTTTTAATGAAAAATTAATTATCGTTGCTGTTAACATTGTCTTTGTTCAATTGTTCTTGTTCTTGTTCTACACTTTCTTCTCTTTTTGTCATCATTGTTTTGATAACAGTTATTATCAGTGTCATTATTATAAGTGCTAGAACTACTAATATCACAAAAAATGGTAGTAACATTATCATTATTCATAATGGATGAAATGATGGGATAATGTTGATAATAAGAATAATTAGAAAAAAATGTAATGATGATGATTGCAATCCTGAAACAAACATTATGAATGCCAGAAAAGGAAAAAAATCATATAGATAAATCATACAGAGTTAATTATATATCCATTCCTTTACCAATATGTCCATGCATTTTCTCTCCTCTATCTTTACATACACAAATTAACAAAAATAACAATAAACTGAAAATTAACAATATATGAGAAAATAGTGCTAATGATAAGAACATTTCTATAATCAATCTCCATCGTCAGATACGCAGCGCGATTTAAAGAGACAAATTGTTCATTAAAATTTACATTTTTTATTGAGACGATCCTTACTTTTATCACAAAAAGGGTTGATAAAAGTCCATCAAATAAAAAATAGATTGTTGCAAGAAGATCACGTTCGTTCAGAATTCCAGTAAGTTCCTTATATCAATTTTGCAAAGCTATAATTCGTATCTTACGTAGGTTCCCAGAATAAAGACTGACCATTTTGGGAGCTTTAAAGAAAAAAGTGAGAACTATTTGTGGCTTGGAAGAATTTTCGTATTTGTCGCCTGTACTATAAACTTTGCAACAATGATTGCAATTCTAATATGAAATAACATGGCATAATCAGCCACAGATGAAAATAGTGACGAAAAAACAGGCACTAACCTCTTTTGCAATAATAAAACCTATAACTCTACGGGTGTAACTACCCAGGTTTCAACCACAGGCGGATAACCTTTTCACCTTTCTAATTAAAAAACATGTTAATCAAAATATAGAAAGAAAATTATACCAACACGACAGTTTCCGAAGTCCATAATCATAGTAATAAAATGCTCATGATAATATTCAAACTTACCGTTGTTTCTTAATATCATCATGAATCACATTAGTATTAACATGTATATCACATCAGAAACTGTGATAACCATTATCATAATCATTATAATTAATCATTTTTGCTACAGATATGATCATTATAATAACCTGGTTATATACATTTTTTCTAATGTGTTTGAAATATAGATAATGTGTCCGGGAAAATAACATATTTCATAACTCTTTTTTTCAGTTATCATAATCCTTATAACAATTACCGATATAATAATTACAAATAATTTTATTTTCATTATCTTTTCCATTCTTATCATAGTCATTATAGGTATTTTCATCATCATCTTGATCATCATCAGTAACTTACTCGTAGCATTATTAAAATAATTATTATCATCACTTTCGTTATTAGCGATGTAAGGAAATAAGAGAGAATGATAAGATAACTTGACATACTTAGTGAGAGGGAGCGAGGGCGAAAACGAGAAAGAAAACGAAAACAAAAGCGAGAACGAGAGCGAAAACGAAGCGAAAATGAGAACTAAAACGAGAACGAAAACGAAAACGAAATGGAAAACAAAATCGAGAACGAGAACGAAAACGAAAACAAAAGAGAGAACGAAAACGTGACAAAAAGCGAGATCGAGATCGAGAACGTATACGAAAACGAAAACGATAAAGCAAGATAAAGAAAACGAGAGAAAAAAAAAACGAGAGATTTAAACAGACGGACACACGGAGACAGAAACAAACAGATACACTTACTGACAGACAGTCGAACAGATCTAGACAGAAAGAATTAAGTAAATCGAAAAATAGTTAAATACATGAATAAAAAGAGTTATAATCTTCTTATATATTATAATAATCTAAAAAAAATAGCTCTATTGATATGGCAAATTTGTTAAAGATAATAATTACGATAATAATGATAATAATAATAATAATAATAATGATAATAATAATAATAATAATGATAATAATAATAATAATAATGATAATAATAATGATGATGATGATAATGATAATAATGATAATAATAATGATAATAATAATAATAATAATAATAATAATAATATTAATAATAATAATAATAATAATAATGATAATAATAATAATGATTAAAGATAATGATAATGATAATGATAATGATAATGACAATGACAATGATAATGATAATAAAAGTAATAATAATAATAATAATAGTAATGATAATAATACTAATACTAATAGAAAAATCTGTGCCAATATTTTCTTCTTGGCATGATAGCTATGTGGATTTGATAAACAGTGAAAATTGATATTTGAAATTTGATAGTAAGGATGAATAGTTCTGGGAAAAAATATGTAAAACAGATGAATACAATGAAAATGATATTGGGGATTTTAATATAATATTCATAATGATGATATATAATGATTATAAACGTAATAATTACATAGCTGAATTTAAAAATGCATCGGTTGTAATGAGAAAATGAAATAAAAAATAATAGTGATTGTATAATGATGATGATAATGGTAGCAATAATGATAATGATGATAATGATGACAATGGTAATGACAAAATAATAATGATGGTAATAATAATAATTATAATCATAATTAGGATAATTATGGTAATGATAATGATGATACTGACTTTAATGGTATTGATAATCATAATATAATGATAACAGTTATAAAAATAAAACCTAATACACATAATACACACACACACACACACACACACACACACACACATATATATATGTGTGTGTGTGTGTGTGTGTGTGTGTGTGTGTGTGTGTGTGTGTGTGTGTGTGTGTGTGTGTGTGTGTGTGTGCAAATATATGTATATATATGTAATGTGTATTTGTGTGTGTGTGTATATATATATAATGATAATAACACACACACACCTTTATTTGAATGTGATCGTAGTAAATTCAGTAGCAGTGAAATCATAATATATATAAAAAAAACAACAACAATGATAATAGAACAACATGGTAAAGAAAGCTTTAATAAAATAATACCTTGAAGAGGATAGCTCTATATCGCTATCTGACCTTTCTTCAAAATAACGCATAAAATGAATGTAAATTGTAGGTAACATCAACGTTATTCTTTTTTTCTTAAAATTCTGAAAATACGTCATAATAAGGATGTTATGTTTAAAAAAAATATATGATATTATGAAGATATCATAATTAATACTTACGCCATGTGTTGTTGATAAAATATTCCGATCTTAGATTTTTATGCAGATAGAATGGGGCACACTAGAACCATTTTCTTTCTTTATTTTGATATTAATAACCCAATTACGTTATCATTGTCTCATATAATTACACAGTACCTTATAAATGTCTCATGTTCATATACAATACCTTATCAATGTCTTATCTATATTACGCACAGCATCAACTCAGATCATAAAACTTTGAGCACTTTGGCGATTTCAGAATTACTTAGAAATAAAAATGAGATTGGAAGAAAATAGCAAAGTAGGTTAAGCGAAACTTTACATCTACAGTGTTGCGGAAATAAAATTAGTTTCCCTTCGATTTTTAATGGAATCTTGTTTTTAGTTACGCTATAGTTTACATATTTCGTACTAAACTGATTTTTAGAATA